ATTGCTTCCAGTCTGTCATGAGCAGTGGATTGAGGTTGGTATTGGCATCCCGTTTTGTGTACGGCGTTGACAACGAAGTAATTTGGAATGGAGTGAGAAAAGAGATTCCATGTCATTTGCAAGAATGTAATTTTTTTGTCTGCCCACTTGCAGGTTGGTGGGATAGACACTGGGGTCTGCAGAGCACCTTGGTGGGGTCGAGAAGGGCCTCACTGACAGGAAGGTCTACTTTGGAGGATGAGGATGCACGCAGGATGTCGAGGAGTTTATGCTGCTGTTCTTTCACTTCCTCCAAAGAAATCTAGAGGGAGTCTGCAATCCTGTGAAACAACTCCTGAAAGCTTTTAAAGTCATTTGCTGCAGTAGGGGGTGGAGGCATGATAGCCTCATTGGGGGAAGAAGAGGAGAAGTGGAGTGGTGGTGAAACTTCCTCCTCTTGGTCTTCCTCCTTGTCTGCTATGGGGAGAGGTTCAGTCTTGTGGTCAAGAGACCGATGGAGATGGTGAAAGTGTAGGCCTCTGGCTTTGCTCTATGGGAGGCTTTCCGAACTGTGCCCTGTTTATGGCCCAAGGATCCTGTATGGCCAATATGGAGGGAGCGGCATGAGGTGTTAAATCCACTGCGGTCCATAGCAGGGCTCTGGTCCGGCTGTGGATAGTGAAGACGTGTAGAAGATGCATCTTGTGCCTGTCCCAAGTATGAGAGTGGGACAAAGTACTCCTCCTCCTCTGCAATGCTGGGGAAGGGCGGTGCCATCCTCAGAGGGGAAAGGGAACAATGCTGAGATTCTGGAGAGGAGGATGGAAGTGGAGGGAGATTGTGTCTGAATAGTGGTGACTCAAAAAGATAAGATACAAGCAGGTCCTTGGGGTTTCTGAACTCCTGGGGAGGAGCATCATCAACACCAGCGCATGGGTCAGTGCCTGAGGGAGAGGTGCATTCTCTTGACCAGACACCAGATGGAGTTGAAGACTTGCTCAGTGCTAAAATGGACCTGGGCGCTGGTGGTTTTGTCCGTGCTGTGGTGCCCAAAGTTGGTCTGGTTAGGGCAGTTGGTACCAGTGCCAAGAGATGGTGCCAGCAGCTGTAGGTCTGCCCTCTTGGGGTCTTTAGACCTTTGCTTAGCTCCGGTACTGGAGGTACTTGGACGGTCCGTGGAGCTACGTCCCCTCTCCGAGGATGTGAGGGAACTGACCTTGCAGGGGATGACTTTCTGGTGGGTGGTGCCTCAGAAGATCATGGGGGAGCCGGTTTCTTCCCATGTGTGGGAAAGAGAAGATTTTCTTTTAGAAGGACAGGGCAAATGAGGGTCAGTGGACAACCAAGTGGAGCGTTAGAGCTGCACGGGTGAAACGTCCGGGCCAGGGTCTGATGCTGGACGCAATGATTTCTCCATGAGGAGAAGTCGCAGCTGAATGTCCTACATTTTCTAGCCCTGGCAGTCAGTTGTACCAAAAAAAAGTGTACTCATTGCCATGTGTCCCTGTCCCACGCAGCAAATACACTGTGGGTGACCATCAGTTACCAGGAAGGTGTTCCAGCAGGAAACGCACCTCTTAAACCCAGGAGATCTAGCGATAAGGGTGATGAGAAAAGCTTCTCAGTCGGGAATGGCGGGAAGCTGCAAAACGAAAACCTAAGCTCTGAAGGGTAAGAGCTATGAAGGGTAAGCTACAGGAGAGTAAGAGGACAAAAAAAATTATTTATTTATTTTTAATAGGGAGAGGATGAGAAAGTAAGAACTAACTACTAAACTATACTAAAACTAACAGGTAAGGCACTATCTCAGAGATCAAAAGGAGAAGCAGGCTTTGCTGCAGATTCTGTCCCAGACCAAAGGGAGTAGAGAGGGAACTGGGGGGCAGTGAGACCGTACAACGCTATATATACACATCCCATTCATGGCGCAAGATGGGGAGATGCACGTGTGGTCCGACGGGCACTGCTGATGAAGATCTCTGATCCAAGGCGCAGGGGGCACTGCCGCACCTACAGTGGAGCACCCATAGAGACATCACTCAAAGAAGAACTACAAGTTATGTTTGGAACTTCTCAAAATGTGTCAACTGTTCCCCTCCATCCACCTCCAGCCATCCACACACTTCAAGCCCTGGCAGCAAGTATTACATCTTTGGCTAGTGTGACGTTGTCTGATTAAAGTACACCTCTACCCCGATATAACGCTGTCCTCGGGAGCCAAAAAAAATCTTACCGCATTATAGATGAAACCGCGCTTTATCGAACTTGCTTTGATCCATCGGAGTGTGCAGCCCCGCCCCCCCAGAAGCGCTGCTTTACTGCGTTATATCCGAATTCGTGTTATATCGGGTCACGTTATATTGGGGTAGAGATGTATAATTATGCCAACCACTGTTGCTACCACTGTTATATACTTGCAATGAATCTTATAATGAGTGTAACACATGGCCGGAAAGAGTTAAGCATCTTGCAGGCTAACTAACCCAGGGTTAGCCTGTAGAGACATGTTAAAAATGGTAATTAAGGCCATTCAAGGCTAGATAGGCTAGAACTTTGAAATACAAACCTGTATTGTTAAAGAATTAGAGGTGATACTAATTGTGTGTATTTTAGATGATAGTCATGTAAACAGACAGTTCCTGTCTGTCACTATAACTATTAATTCAGAGGTTAAAAGGGGAATATTAACATTTAGATGAATCTTGGGTGAAATATAGACAATGACATTCTGTCTCTTTGAAGTTTGTAATAGACCGCCTAATGGATAAATTGCCTTATGTTAATTTGTGTAACTAATTACTGCTGGTGCTTAGGAAACAGGAGGTTACATCAAAAGCCTATTGTTTACCCAGGACTGTATGGTCAAGCGAAACTGTATAAAAGACCACTGGGTCCTGATCCCCTGATGAAGCTTAAGCAGATCTGAGATGTCAGGAAGTTTGAGTTGCCAGATTGAGATCCCAGTTAAGCTGCCACTCCCTGAATGTGATATTGGACATTGGACTATAACCTATGGACTAAAATTCTAAAAGAACTCTTTGCAACCACAAAGCTCACCATCTCTGCTATGTATCTGAACCTCAAGAATTGAACTCATGTCTATATGTGTATTGATCTTTTAACTGTATTCTCTCTCTTTTCTAATAAATTTTAGTTTAATTAATAAGAATTGGCTGTAAGCATGTATTTGGGTAAGATCTGGAATATTCAATAACCTGGGAGGTAATGTGTCCGATCCTTTGGAATTGGTAGAACCTTTTCTTTTATATTTGACTTGGGTACCTGGATTGAGACCTGAGGCTGGGTTACACTTCAAGGGAACTGTGGTGTTGGTTTCTGGGCAACCAGTGAAGTAATAAAGAAGCTGTTTTATGCTGTCTTGGTAAATCTAAGTATTGAAAATATCCACCAGCTTTGGGGATTAGCTATCCCATTCTTTGCAGTTCACCCTAATGGAGTGACCTCTGCTAGCCCTCACTGGGACCCCAGTCACAGCTAGTGATCTTCTGGATTATTGGGTTGCCATTGCTTCTTATAGCAACTTTGTTAGGAAACGAGAGAGGAGGCTACTGTAGGTCCTGAATAACATGTAGGATTTGGCTTAGAAAGCAAGTATGGCAGAGCCACTATGTAACAGTGACAATATAGTTGATATCCTAGCACAGGGGAAATCATGTGGTAGTACTGTAGTGAGACACTGAATGTCAAGCAGAGATTTAAGAAGAGAGGAAGTTAATTAAAAATAGCCAGCAGAGAACAATTAATCAGTTAAAATACACAAAAGTGGCATAGAGGCCATTTCAAACACCACAGAAGGTGACCCTGAACAATCAGGAACCAAAATACCAGGAGAGTAGTAAAAAGGCAAATAAATAAATAAATAAATAAATACTAAAGCCACTATGCAGTTACACAGCAAGGTACAAGAGTTTACTCAGGCTGAAGGAGAAATGAGGGACCTGGTTGGTTATGTTAATAGAAGGCAATTTACTTTGGCAGATAAGAATGCTAAGGAAAAAACAAAACAAAAAAGACACTCCTTTAAAGCACATCAAAGAGGAGAAACTCAATGAGTTAATGCTTCTGCCAGGACACAACTAGTGATAAAGGGCAATTTTACAGGCTACGGTTTTCTTTATTATACATTTAAAAAAAAATACTTTTTTGTATTACGTACCAGGGTATAATTTCACTACAGGTAAGAGAAACAAAGTGGCTTTTTTAGGAACAACTAAAAAACAAAACCAAGTAAACATGCTAGGTATGTTTTCAACCCATACAGAAGGTGAGGAATACTATAGGTATCTAATGTAAAATAAACTTGAAGAGTTCCTTTTATGAACCTTTTTTTTACATTTTATAAGAATTAGCTGACATTAGAAAAATGCCATGGCAACTAATCCAATTCCTCGGATAATGCCCATTATTAAATAGGTTTCAGAGTAGCAGCCGTGTTAGTCTGTATCCGCAAAAAGAACAGGAGTACTTGTGGCACCTTAGAGACTAACAAATGTATTTGAGCATAAGCTTTTGTGGGCTACAGCCCACTTCTTCGGATGCATAGAATGGAACATATATTGAGGAGATTATATATATACACATACAGAGAGCATGAAAAGGTGGGAGTTGCCTATCTTGATTATCACTTCAAAAGATTTTTTTTCCCCTCTTACTTAATTGGCCTCTCAGAGTTGGTAAGACAACTCCCACCTGTTCATGCTCTCTGTATGTGTGTATATATATCTCCTCAATATATGTTCCATTCTATGCATCCGAAGAAGTGGGCTGTAGCCCATGAAAGCTTATGCTCACATAAATTTGTTAATCTCTAAGGTGCCACAAGTACTCCTGTTCTTTTTGCATTATTAAATAGTAATGTTAATGTATACAAGTATGCAGTTTTTAGTGTATATCTTGTGTAAAGAAAAAGACAGAAAAATTTAACAAGTTAGCAGAAAGGGTATAATCCAGAGTGATAAGTACTTTTCTGATTTGAGAAAAATTAAAGGAACTATCTTTACCATATTGTAGCCAACTGAGCCTGTGGTAAACTTGATTGCATAAGGATAGTTCTTGCTTGTGGACCTAACAAATTAGAACAAGGGTTAACAAACAAACAAAAACAAAAAATCAGCAAACATTATTCTGGAGCAGAACTCAGTTTTGAGGGGCTAACCTGGAAAATATCAGTCCCTATGTGTTAAAGCTGAACATACTACTACTACTCAGAACAAATTGTCACCGTGTACAAGAGGGAAGTTATTTTAAAAGAATATCTAAGATTAAGGAATGCTGCTCGGGTTAGTAATCCCACATTTGACCTACCCTTTCCCACTGCACAGGCAGCTTTTTATCATGATGGGGAAAATGTCCCTCATGAAAGGGGCACACAAAGCTTGATCCAGCCACCCATGTCCTTCGCATGAGTCACTGTTTGCCACAACCAATTTCATACCTCACAATAAGCTCTTAGGATGACATAGGGGTGAGGGAGGATTCCTGTACATGCTCAGTGCCTCCCCTCATTTGGGGTGGGTTCTCTCTTGGGCAGAGGCAACTGTGTGTGTGGTCTGAAGAGAAAGCTCCTTGTTGCCAGCCAGGTGAAAGTGTTCATCACTTCTCAGCACTTTCACCCAACAGGCCTCTTCACCTGCTTGGTAGGTTGTCAACAAGGAGTAAGGGGGACAAGAAGAATCCCACAATTGTAAAAGGCCTTTTCTTTTTGGGTGGTCAATGGGGATCAGGAGCCCTGTCCAACTACACCAGCAGGATAAGTTTCAAAAAGAAAATGAAGTAAGTTCTGGGGCGTGGACCTCAGAGTTAGAGTTTAAGGCTAGAAGGGACCACCTTTACAATAAATCAGTGTGAAAGCAGGAGTGAGGAGAGGAAAAAAGTTAGCAAGAAGTTAATGGAATTTGCAGGTGCCCAGTACCTCTCATAATCCTGTACCAGGGGCATTAGGTGGCTTTGGAACTCCCTTCCCCAACCGTTGCCCATTTTACTAAGAGCCTCTGACTGCATACTAAATGTGTTCTCATGCAGGCTCTTTTAATGCAGTAAGAGGGTCCACTTGGGGAGTTAGTGCAGAGTAGCTAGCGTGCCATAAATTCACACTCTAACTTCCCTGTGTAGACATGCCCTAAGTAGCAACCACTCACAAATGATCATATGTTTGCTCTCAATTGTAATCAAAGTGCGGATGGAAAATAATATAGAAAATAAGCATTTTTTCCCCTCGCATTTCACTATGGGAACTCAGCTGTCACTCGCCTTCCACAATTTAAGCACCACATGAACAGACATATAATTGTCAAAGATCAATCAATCAAATGGAAGCAAAAAATAAAAAAATATAAAAATTGTTCTAATACCTGTTAAGTGTCCACTCATCATTTTGTCATGGCTATTGAACAGCTGCCTATATTTCAGTCTTGATGACTGAGGAACAGCCCATTCTGCTACAGGAGGCACACTGGAATTGGGAGAGAGAAAAAACTCAATTACGCTTAAATGTTTCAAGCTACAGGAGGACATCTGAATTTGTTCTTTCAACAATTTTTCCCAACTCTTACTTCAAAAATATGACACACTACTGAAGTTGTGATTGAGAACAGTGACCCAGCCAGTTCAGCATTTTAAAAGCATGTTTCTTATCCCAAATTAGGTCAAATATTCAGCCTTGTCATAGATAGCTTTGCTTTTTCGGAAAGGTAGAGAAGTAAATAATCTATGTGCTTTGGAAGACTCAAGATATGCAAAATCTTTGTTCAGTTGTATGCTTGGAAACCCTCCATGTAGTTGGTAGAAACAGCATCTCATCTTATGCTAACCTTAACCAGCTGTCTTTCCAGCCTAGCAACCAACCAACCAGAGGCTGATTAGGAAAAACAAACAGAGCTGAAAAGAAACAAACAGAGCTAACAGTAAATACAAGTATTTTAAATAGGTCAGCTATTTGCAGAGACAGTTTCGTGATGCTAGCCTGCCAATGTGTCTCAATACTAAGAACTGGAGAAAGCAGGTATAGGAATGAAATGTTAGTTCAGTCTACAGCCCCATTTAACCCTTGGTCCTCTATTAAGACTGCCAAAACATGCCAGGACACTAGGACACAGTAAAAATTGGACTGAGACCAATAGGCCACTGAACAGATTGCATAGAAACTACTTTCCCTACTGACCTGAGAAGAACTGAAACCACTAAACTGGTAGAGATTCTTATTTTCCATTCTAACATTGCCTCAGCCAGTCTGCATCCCTTATTCTCCCCCCCCCCCCGCACTATATATTTATTTTAAATTGAAGTTGTTAAACTTGTAAGCTCCTTTTAATCTTAAAAAAGCACATCTACATTTTGCACTGGAATACAACATATTAATGTCTTAATTTAAGTGATGAAAGGTGAATTTAAAAGATTTTTAAAATATTGATCGCTGAAAAGCCACCATATTTGTGTGCATTTGTCCCCCGCAATCTCTTCCTGTTTATTCCCCAGTATTGGATGGCTGTGGTGAAAGATATGGAGCTGCTATATAATAATCTAAGAATATTAAGATATAATAGTTTTATGAACAGTGCATGTGAACTGGTCAGTGAAGTTATTGTATAACAAGTTATAAGACTTTCCTGTATTGATGTAGCTTAATAAGGGGCTCTGGGAAAAACAATGTGGAAAGCAACACAATGGATCTACAAAAAGAACGAGGAGTACTTGTGGCACCTTAGAGACTAACAAATTTATTTGGGCATAAGCTTTCGTGGGCTAAAACCCACTTCATCAGATGCATGGAGTGGAAAATACAGTAGGATTATTATATAAATACATACACACGAAAAAATGGGGGTTGCCATACCAACTCTAACGAGACTAATCAATTAAAGTGGGCTATTATCAGCAGGAGAAAGAAAAACGTTTGTAGTGATAATCAGGATGGCCCATTTCAAACAGCTGACAAGAAGGTGTGAGTAACAGTACGGGGGGAATTAGCATGGAGAAATAGTTTTTAGTTTGTGTAATGACCCATCCACTCCCAGTCTTTATTCAAGACTAATTTAATGGTGTCCAGTTTGAAAATTAATTCCAGTTCTGCAGTTTCTCGTTGGAGTCTGTTTTTGAAGTTTTTTGTTGAAAAATTGCGACTTTTAGATCTGTAATTGAGAGGGAGGTTGAAGTGTTCTCTAACTGGTTTCTGAATGTTATAAAATTCTTGACGTCTGATTTGTGTCCATTTATTCTTTTGCGTAGAGACTGTCCAGTTTGGCCCATGTACATGGCAGAGGGGCATTGCTGGTGCATGCTGGCATATACCACATTGGTAGATGTGCAGGTGAACGAGCCCCTGATGATGTGGCTGATGTGGTTAGGTCCTATGATGGTGTACCTTGAATAGGACAGAGTTGGCAACGGGCTTTGTTGCAAGGATAGGTTCCTGGGTTAGTGTTTTTGTTGTGTGGTTGCTGGTATTTGCTTCAGGTTGGGGGCTGTCTGGAAGCTTACAGTCCTACAAAAGTTTTTTTTCCCTCCTATTGATAATAGCCCACCTTAATTGATTAGTCTCGTTAGAATTGGTATGGCAACCCCCATTTTTTCATGGTGTGTGTGTGTGTGTGTGTGTGTGTGTGTGTGTGTGTGTGTCTGTCTTCCTACTGTATTTTCCACTGTGTGCATCTGATG